GTGATTAACAGTGTCTGTATCTCTGTGTTCCAGTGTGTGACTGTGATTAACAGTGTCTGTATCTCTGTGTTCCAGTGTGTTTCTGTGATTAACAGTGTCTGTATCTCTGTGTCCCAGTGTGTGTCTGTGATTAACAGTGTCTGTATCTGTGTTTCAGAATGGAGGTGGATCTGCAGTGCTGCAGGTAGGTCTGTGTTGTTTTGATAACACAGGGGACTGTGGTACAAAGATATTAAGCCATTATTCCGATGTGAATGTACATATGGCAATCAACTCCTCTTCTACTACTCTATTGGACCCACTCTTCTCTCTCCACTCTCTGCTTCCTCCTCTGCTCACAGTGGCCATTGTATCTCTCTCACTTGGTTCACATTCTGTTATTTTTCCTTGTTAAACCCTTCATTTCTTCTTTATCCTCCTAAAACCTTTACATCTGTATTTGCATTGTCAAATTTGTTATGTTATGTTTCATTATACACACTTCTCTATGTCAAGGTCATTCTAGTTTGCTGTACACGAATTCTGTTCACTCCTTTTCATCTATTAGTGAACATTTCTATTTTGCTCACTCTTACTTCTGAAGTATGTTTGCTTTATATAGTTTATTACTTTATCTAGTTTATTAGTTTATTTCATATATTTATGGTAGTTCTAATAGAAAATATCTTACCACCTATTTAGTTATTTTTCTTGTTTGAGTACCTTACAGTGCAAACATTTATTTGATCTTATTTTATTTTACAAACTACAGGTGACTGCCAAAATAAAGGAAACACTTGATTACATAACGAATACAGAGTATATTGAAAGCAAGTGCTTCCAATCATTATTTTAAAACTTGATTATCAAAATTCATTTACACAGTGGCTTTAAAATCATACACTATATATGAAATATGCTTTATTTATATACAGACTATATCATGCTGCAGTTTATTGATTTGTACTGTACGGTACTGTTTATTACTTCATGTGTTTCATATCAGTGGCACATTGGGAATTGTAGTCTTTTTTTATGTCATTGATTCTCATGGACAACAGTTTAAAACTACAATACATACTCTGAAGAAATACTCCCTGTTCCATTTTAAATGGATGGTAACCTTTAATCATACAAACTGTGCTGTAGAAAGTAGCGCCTGTACTGCTTCCATTGTCAAACTGTAACTGTCGTAGGTTATAGGTGTGGTTAGATGGAGAGTGACCCTGCTGATTCAGCAATTCAGTGCTTGCGAGTCTAGGGAATGAACAAGGCGTTTGTAGGATGAGTGATTCAGCACTGTGGATCTGACTGTTTAGATCCCTAATTGGGGGAAAAGCCTCAATATTAAGTCTGTTTGAGATTTGCCTCTAGGACAGTCCCTGCTCTCACCCCTGTTGCCCCTATTTTATATCTATTCACCTGTGTTCTAGCCCAGCACATTAGATCAGATATTATTAAATATGTTGTATTGTATGACTTATATATTCATATACATTCTATTCTATTCAGAAAGTACATCTCATTTTGAAGGCACTGGTGCATTCTTATACTGCTTAAAGCCACCACCTGAATCACAAGTGAGAGCGTTGACTCTTTAAAACCACAATGTCCATAATAATCTAAAAAACAAATGTCCTAAATAATGCCCTTTGAAATAAAACATTGGATCATTTTTGCAACATTTACAGTCTCTTAAAGAATTAATGCAAAGATTTTTGGGGGAATGTCAAGGTAGTTTCTTTTATCAATGATAGATCTCTTTTCTTGCTGTCCTTCTGTCATTCCAGCTGATGTAGTCCTGAATCCTGATACAGCACACGTCAGCCTGAACATCTCCAAGGATGGGAAACGTGCAGTCTTGTCTGATGTGCCTCAATCCCCTGCATCTACTGTCCATAACTGTGTCTTAGGTAAAGTGGGATTCATGTCAGGGAGGCACTACTGGGAGGTGGATGTGAGGGATAATCTGTTCTGGGGTGTGGGTATCTTCAGGGGATCTGCTCCTAGAAATGCATACCTTAGACCTGAGGACGGGGCCTGGGCAGTGGAGCTTTGGTATAAAACCAAGTTTAGTTTCATTACTGACCCCAGAACACCATTATCTCAGGATCTACTTCCCCAGAGAGTGGGGGTCTACGTAGACTGTGAGGAAAGGCAGCTGTCATTTTACAAAGTGGAGACTCGAAGTCTCATTTACACTGCCAATGTAGATTTCACAGAAATATTCTACCCGCTGTTCTACACAAAAAGCAAAAAGGGCATCTCCATTGTTCCTCCTCTTGAGTCTGAGTATTAAACTATAACAAGATTGTGTGTTTTATATCCTTGTGCAAACACATTTTGAATGAAATGCCAGACTTAACTGATTAACAGACAGGGCAGTGGCTGTTTGGGTGTATCGATTGGGTGAAACAAAATGAAGAAGCAACTCTAAATGATCAAATAAGAAGCTGAGGTACAAATACTGGCCTTTCAGGGCCAGGATTAGACTACCCTGGATTAAATAACCACCCAGTCAGCTTCTTAATTGCTCTTTGGTTGTAGAAAAATCCTGTAATGGAAATGATCAGAAGCACCACAGGTTGGGTAATCCCGCCACAGGGACACTTATAGTTTCTCTTTACATAACCATGTCAAACACCAAGTAACCTGGACAGCTCCCGTCCACACCTTTATATAGCACTTTGCTCTGTAAGAACGTGTAATCGATTGCTTGATGCTTAATTGCTTATTGGATCCAGGGGCTGAAAGTCTGTTCAGTAATTACTGAAGACCTGGAACAGAGACTGCAGATCCACCCTTGATTTACACTACAGCTTAGGGCTACAACGCAGCTTTTTATTATTGTTCCACTAAATATTGTTCTGCAATTTCCCTCACGGGATCAATAAAGTATCTATCTATCTAAATACTGTAAATGCTTATTTGGTTTGTATTTATTCTTAGATAATAAATTATTTTTGTGTGTTTGGTTTCAAATTGTATTGAGATAAGAACCTATCTGTGATTTTGAAACTTTACTGAATAGGACTATAGAAATCAATGTGCTATTGTCACCTTTCCTATTTTTACTCCGTGCTCTAGAACCATATAGGACAGTGGTTCTCAAACGTTTTGGAACAAGTACCACCCCTGACCAAATCAAAGCATCCAAGTACCACCTAGAAAAATCATCTTCTCATAGGAACCCCAGAAAATCTCAATGACCAACATGCGCGCACACACAAACATTTATAATAAACTTTATTTGATATAATTGTCACTGTAATGTCACTGTAATTTTCTTAGGAGACTCAGGTCCTTTGGTGTGTGTGGAACACTGCTACACATTGTTTATGAATCAGTGGTGGTGGCAGCCATCTTCTACGCTGTGGTGTGCTGGGGCAGCAGCTTCATGACAAGAGATGCAAATAGGCTCAATAAACTCATCAAGAAGGCTGGCACTGTGCTGGGGATGAGCCTTGACCCCATGGAGGTGGTGGCGGAGAGGAGAATGCTGACCAAGCTCACAGCCATCATGAACGACGCCTCTCCTCCGCTTCATGGGACTGTTACTGGGCAGCGGAGCACCTTTAGCACCAGACTGCTCCAGCTGCGGTGTTCAAGGGAACGTTTCCGCAGGTCTCTCCTCCTGGCGGCTGTCGGACTGTTAGCCCTTCATTTGCTCGTCTGTGGACAGCATTTTGCTCCATTGTACTTTTTTGGAGCCCCCCAGAGGGCAGTATAGTGAAACTATAAAGTCAGAAAGGAAGTCAGAAAATACCAGCATTTTCACAAGGTTAGCAAAGGATTGGCTATGCCTGTTGGAAAGCCAGTTCCCTTTTGAAATGACACAGAGTAGACTAATGTTGTCTGTATCCTTAAAATGTATCCTTAAAATGCCTGTTTATTTTTGAGAATTGTTTTCATATCAATACCTTTGCGAGGAAAGTACACAGTGCCTTAAAACCACTGAAATATTCAATACTTTTATTTAAACACATACTTCCTATAATTCCTAATTGCATTCTATCTATCTTTATCTCCTCTCTCCCTCTCACTGTGTCTCCTGTCCTGTTGTTGGTGTTTATTACCTGGAGATTCTGTTTTCTCCTTCCAGTGTATGTTCTGACCTCTCTCCCTGGTGAGACTCTTGGCTCCGCTCTGCCTGCTGTGAAAGATTACTTGTATTGTGACTTAATAAAACTCCAAGCATTCAGACTCCTGGTCTACAGTAATTACTGATCTGTAGTTTATGTCAGTCTTTTAACTGCCTATCATGAGGTTCAGAAATGCAGTAGAGACTCTGAAGGGGTTTTTAAATGACACTTGAAAATAAACTTCTATATCATCAAGATTATACTGATGGAATTTTAGATTATAATACAGATTTGGCCCACGACTCTA